CCCCCCAAAACTATCTTAACGATCAGGCCAGTGCTGCTTCCTCGAGAAAGTTTTTCATTCTCACGTGTTTTAAGTCTTGTCAGTTTAAACATTAAAGTAATTTTAAGCCATTTAAGCCCAAGACATCTCAGTGCGGTACGCACGCGCTGTGATAGAGCGTTTCTATGCGCACCGCGCACACATCTGAAGTGCACAAACAGATAGCCTTCTCAGACAGCAGGTGAATACCTATGGCTGTCTTGACAAGTATCCTTGTAAGCACAGTCGGTTGTTTTAAGTGAACGTAAACAGTAAAGGAAATATCAGATGTACATCAGTATAACGGATCCGTGCATTTCTTATGTAAATAATGTTAATCAAAAAGAGCAAAAGAAAAATTGTTTTAATTGAAAAATCTTTAATAGCTTTAATGGATATTTGCTTTTATGTTAATGTTAATAAAGTAATTTTGTGTGACTACAGTAATGGGGGGGGAGGGGTTAATAATATAGGTCTGTCTAACAGTGCTGTCATCTGAAAACAGAGAGATTATAATCCCAAAGTACAGCAAAGACCCGTTTCAAACACACGTATGCACAAACTCTACACTCCTGATGTAGTCTATGCTCTAAGACCTCCAGATTATCAACAGCTGCATCTTTAACCAGACATTTAATCAATCGACTTTTAACCACATAAATCACCACAATTAAATCAACATGTGTTCTAGGTTGCATGTTGCAGTCCACATGAAATTTGCATGCATAAACCATAGACTGTAAAAAAAGATGGACGACGCGTTCCTTGCACTATAGAAAAGTGAAGCCAAAGCATCTCAGTATGGCCGCTGCCATCTTGAGTAAATGACGTCATTTGGAGCCCGAGTCTGCGAAGTAGAGATTCGTTTGGAGCCCGAGTCTGCGCAGTAGTGTCGTGAGGTGGACCCGCGGTATTAAACTCCCGCCCAAACTCCCGCAGAGCCAGCCACCAGGGGGCGATCAAAGAGCCCGCAGCTTCACTTTTCAGGACGTGTGAGGCACACCCGGTACCGACCCAGTAACAGATTTTTTTTGAGACATAAATAGTTGAAAATTGGTCACCTATTAGGTTGCATTTCAATTAGTATGCTGCTTTAGAAGCATTATTTATATACTATTATTGTATTTATTAATATTTCGAATTAACTGTTATTGTTTTTATTTTAATTTGTCATTTTTATAATTTTTTATTTATTCATTTTTATTATTTTTGAGTTTTTAATATTTATATTTAGCTTTATTTTCTATTATAATTTATAATTTTATTATTTCAGATTTAGTGTTTTTAGTACTTCATCTTTTTTGTTTCAATTTGTTTACATTTTTCATCTAGTATTAATATTTTATTTCAGTTGGATTAATACAAGAAATTATTAAATACATTTTAGTTAACAACAACACTGTTTGGAAGGCAGTAGCTTATGTAGACATAAACAGCAAGGCAGCTCACTAGGTTTTGGTGCAGAGCCACTGTATCCCACAATGCAATTGACTTTCCATTTCCATTGTGACCGCTGAACCAGAAGCCGTACTTCTTTCTGACTCATTATTTTATTGTTCTGCCAACAGACAGTAAGTTTGGCAAACTATTAATAAGTTTAAGATAGTAAATTAATTTAACTTGTTCAACTTGTGTTAAACAAGTTGAACAAGGCTGAAAATCACTTTCCAGAACATTCTCGTTCACCATTCCTGGCTGGTGGAACGATCTTCCCACCCCTATCCGGAATGCTGAATCCCTGACAACTTTCAAGCGACAGCTGAAAACTCATCTCTTTCGAAGCTACTTGACTTCATCATCATTATAAAAAAAAATACAAAAATAAAAAAAAATTCTCTCTCTTTATTTATTCCTTCTCTTTCTAGCTTGTACTTATTTGAACAATGTCTAGAAACTTGGTATTACAAGCACTTCCTGTATCTGTTTGCCTCTTTAAGAAGAATCGCTTTATGTATCCCCAAATTGTAAGTCGCTTTGGATAAAAGCGTCTGCAAAATGACTAAATGTAAATGTAAATGTAAACATGCAACTATGAGGGCATGTGACAACCATAAGTTTATATGATACAAACACACACACACACACACACTCTCTCTCTCGCTCTCCTGAAGCCAAAGGCTGCAGACAGAAAATGATTTCTGTGTGATGCACTGTTTTGTGTGTGTTGAGTTGAGAATGTGTGCTTACTTCCCCGTACACTGTTTATAATTCATCAAACTTTACGTTTGGAGTTATTCATCACTGCAGTTCTGGGGTGTTCTGTCGGAGCAGGTGATGGATATCTGGGCTCTTGTGGTTCAGATGGAGAATCTCGAGGGATTTTACACAGCAAACACGTCACAGTCACACTTACTTTTTTTTTTTTTTTTTTGCACTTCCAGGAAAAGCATCTTTAAACTGGGCAAAAAACTGAATCTAACGGCATTATATATATTTATACACTGGCGGTCAAAAGTTTGGAATAATTATGATTTTTAATGTTTTTGAAAGAAGTCTCTTCTGCTCACCAAAGCTGATCAAAAAGAAAGCACAACTGTTTTCAACATTGATAATAATCAGAAATGTTTCTTGAGCAGCAAATCAGCATATTAGACTGATTTCTGAAGATCATGTGACACTGAAGACTGGAGGAATGATGCTGAAAATACAGCTGTGCATCACATAAATAAATTACATTTTAACACAGATTCACTTAGAAAACAGTTATTTTAGAGTGTAAAAATATTTCACAATATTACTGTTTTTACTGCAGTTTTTACTTAAAAAATTCAGCCTTAGAGAGCAAAAGAGGCTTCTTTTAAACACATAAAAAAACGTAATTATTCTAAATGATTACCTCCAGTGTGTGTGTGTGTTATTATTATTATATATTATTCACCTGTTAGTTATAGATACCTTACCATAAATTAGTAAACACCACAAGCTACGGTTGTAAATGCATCTGTGTGCATCTTCCTCGATATGTTGTCCTGCATTTCAATGTGATGATGATACGATGTGACAATGATGTGCAAACCCACTGAGAAATATAAAGCAGCTTACTTCATCTGGATTTAAATGATGTGTTCATCTCCAGACTTCTAACTCTATCTATGCAGAAATACCAACACAATTTAATAAGCACTTCCATAGTTTGCCGTGACCTCTGACTCCTTCAAACAAGTTCTGGAAGTAATCAATTCTCTTCCTGTGATTGAAGGAAAATCTCCTTCATGTCATGATCTGATATCTGACTGCAGTGCATCTCAGTTTCCTCTCACTTTCTTTCTGGACTCACTTTTAAAGTCCCTCCAGAGACAGGTTTATTTCTTTGTCTGTGAAAAGGCCTGTGAAAATGTGTCCCGCGGGTCCAAAAGACGGACAAGAGCCTGTCACTAGAGTTCAGAGTCAACCTGAATGATTCTGGACAGGAGTTTTTTCAGTCCGATCATCTACAGAGGAGAGGAGAGATCATTTTTTTTATTACTTTAACCTAAGTTTTCTCCTTGAGGTCATTTATAATAAGTTTTATAAAGCTGAATCACATTGTAAGATTCATAATTCAATGGAGAAAGTTTTGAGTCCTGAAAGTCTCAGAAGATCGATGAAAATTAGATTCTTCGTGACATGAACCCTTTAAAAAGCAGAAAATGCTTAATGTCAGAATCATGCAAAAGTTCATGCAATAAAATTCTGGTGATCACAGCATTTTTCAGAGTTTACATTTGTAGCATTACTGTAAAAGTTTTTTGGTTTTTTTTCCATATCTGAATTTGTATAAACATGTGTTAATGCTTCGTTTAAAAAAAAACAACATTTTTTCACATAATTTACCTTTATTCCACACCTCTTTGTCCCTTCTCTCAGAAACACCCTTATTATTTCCTTCTTTTATGAAGCCCCTCCCTCAGTAATAGGCGATGGGCTCTGATTGGTTAGCTAGCTCAGTGTGTTGTGATTGGCTAAGCCGTCTCTAGTGCGCTTCTAAATGTCCCGCCCCTCACCTCAGCGGCATGTGCTCCTGTTGTATTGTAAACAACGGCGTCATTAATATCGCTTATCAGTTTGAGCCCGATTGAGAAGCAGAGGATATTATTGAAGAGGATCGTGCAGAACCTGTGCAAGCACGGCTTTTAATGGTAGGCCTATGTTTTTTGTTTGTTGTTGTCTCATACTTTTAGATATGCTGTTATTTGTAAATGCTACTGCTTATGTTAGCTTTTAATATACGGTTTTATCCTGATTAACGCTTTAATACAGTACGGCAACTGCACGCGCGTCCATGTTTAACCCTCTGGGGTCCAAGGGTGTTTTGGGGCCTGAAAAAGTTTTGACATTTGTGCTTTTCTCAGTTGCTTACAAACATTTGAATGTCTAAAGTTTAATAACACTGTAATCAGCCGAAACTGGGCTACAATAATAT